TTCCCTCATTGATACTTGCTTGAATGGAGCTCCTTTTTTTTTCTTGCATTTAGGAGGAATGAGGGAATAAATGTTTTTTGATATTTCTTACTCATGAGGAGGAAGTGTGTTGGACAGATGGTATTACAAGTTGTGTCTCTATAGATATATGTGATATAATTTTGAAAACTAAAAAACTGCAAATGCATTCTAAGGTACCCAGCAGATTGCAGCTTTCTCAAAACTTAATAGATACCAGAGAGCATTTTCTTATGAACAACATACTGTACAACATCTGTATCAAGATGATAACTGGGTATCCCTGAATACCACCCATTCAGAGGTATCCACAGATGTTCACTACCTGACATGAGGGGACACAAGGCACAGCTGCACATGTTCTGGAGCAGCTTTGGCCCAGTTTGCTCTTGTTGCACTCAGTTTCCAAGCCCCACTACTTTCACTAACAATAGGTTTGTTCCATTTCTAGTTTCCTGTAGACACAATATGCATATAAAAATATATAGCTATTCAAATGGGCTCTAATGCATAACATCTCCTATTTTTATTTACTGGTTGAAGTGTTCAAATTCTGATATTACATGCTTCTAAAATATAATGGTAGTTGCCACAGTGCAAGCTTGGAGAGCACTGAAGTAATACATGTTGGTATCAGAGTATGCATTTATTGCCCAGTGTAAGTGTTATTGTAGTCTTCAACAATTAGAAAATAATTTTAACATAAGAGGTTATATCAGATGAACACCAAAAAGCTACTTGAGTAAAAAACACTAATTTTGCATTAGTTGACATTTACCTTATTTCTGTTTCATTATAATAATCCTTAGGCTCTGAAGATCAAGTTCTCTATGTTGCTAATGACACTGACATCCTGGGTTTTGCATATCCATTCAACTACAGTGATGTTCATCAGCAAATATCACATATTGAACATAATTCAAGGATAACTGGAATGGATGCCTATTTTCAAGGAGACATGATTGTTTGGAGTACTCAATTTAATCCAGGAGGGATTTTCTACAGAAAACTTCATGATGGAGAGAGAAGACAAAGTAGCAGTGGCTTGATAGTAAGTGATCAAAACCAGAGATTGCATGATACAAATGTCTTTCAATTTACTTTTCTCTTCTGATTGTCTATAATAACAAGCTGATTTAGTAAATTAAAATGTCTATCAGAGAATGATTTTATTCCAATGGTATTTATGTCTACTAATGCCTTTCCATTCAAGACTGGCAGATGTGGTTGAGTCTCTAAGAGAATGAAACAACAGCATTTTTGAAAGTTTTTGACAGAGAAATAATCAGTACATTAGAGGCTTGGAAAGATTGTATACCATACAGATTTTTATTTTCATTTAATATTTTTATTTATTTATTTATTAGAAATATGTAAGGAGCACATGGTTTAAAGACATGAATTTCAAATCCTTGGAAAAAAGAAAATAGGCCAATGATAGGCTTCGTTTCTATAGTGACCATATAAATAACAATATTTGCAAAGCTACAACAGACATTTAAATGTTACAACAAGTGTTTATTCCTTTATATGTTGAACCTCTTAGTATCTTCTTGTGAATAAGCATAAATATAATTTTGCACTTTACAACAGGAATGTGCCTGGTATAACCTTGGGTAATTCCAAGTGTTCTTCAATTGAAAATAAAGTAAATACAGATTGATACTCATTTTACCTACCATATTTCTATGAAATTTTTCAATGAGGTGTTAGTGCTGAACTGAAGAGAACAATGTGATGTTTACATTGGTGCACCTACAATGCTGTAAATTCAGATACATTCTTCTTTTTCTTTTTATTGAATGCAATGGCAGTGGAGAGATTTTAGTTTTCTCTTGGGCAGTAATAAATCAGGTTGGAAATAACACCTGTTTGGCTGTTTCCTTAAACTTGGGAGAGGTAACAGGGATGACCTAACATCACATGAATGCTTTTCTATACCCAGTAGGATAACCAGAAATAGCAACAGCAGACTGATCTTTCATCTCTCGTTCAACTCTTACACATCTGAAACCACTTCTAAGTACATTTCCTCCAAGGCTATTTCCTTTGCCAGCAAATGACATCCCTGACCTTTGATGCAACAGGGCAAAAAGCCTGGGGATGCAGACCCCAAAGGACACTAAATATTCCCTGTGTCTGTGATATTGGTAAGAGGGGTTAGAAAAACAACAGTTCCACCTGCCCAGCAGAAGAGGGTCTAGACTTTGTTGACAGAAAGTGTATCTAATGTAGAAGGTTATTCTTAGCATTTCTAGCAGGTCAGGTGTGTCATCTGTGTTTTGGGGAAGGATACTTTGAGAATAAGTATGTACTGAAGATGTGGACTAATTCTGCTGTGACATTTTTCTCATTTCAATGTGGCAGATACCTGTGCCTAGGAAATCCTGATACACCTCTATATTGAGTTCATTATTAGAAAATAATTAACATTGATGGTATTTGTATATTTTATTTCTTTTTGGTTAATATGCAGATGCCTTCTGCAAGGGCAAGTAGAGTCTGCTGACCCACTACCTCTCTTATGGATCTACACTTTCTTACAGGTCCATAAAATTGAACATAAGCTTCTTTGAGACTTTCATAGCTGATTTGATGTTGACTCCCTGCTTAAATTAACAAAGACAAAATGTTCTTAGAATTACTGTTACTTTTCTGAAGTACTAAAATACTTTCTGTATCTCTGTTTCACCATTATACAAGAAAGCTTTCTTGCAAATTCCTCTTAATTCAAAAGTATTGAAAAAATATTATGGTTTTCTTTATACACCATTTTCCCCTGTCTCTTCAGTGCATGTTGGTGCTTGTGAAGCTGCTTGATCCAAGCCATGCAAAGCTTTTTTTACAAATGTGTATGTGGAAAATGCAGAGGTTGTGTCTGCATATATCTTGGACACATTTCATTTATGTTTGTGAAGCATTTACTTCTCATTGTGATAATTCTGAGTATTTTTCCAGTATTATCTCATTAATGCTCAAATATTATTGCCTTATATTTAACTGATCAGTAGGTTAATTGGTTTTATAGTGTTGCTTTAATATTGTTACTTGCATTTGGTTTTGAAAAACTGGAGAATTCCTTAGTTTTAACCCAAGTTTTTTTTAATGGATAAGTTTTCAAAGGTTACATTATAACTTATGTATCTAGACTTTGATATGTAAATCAGGACAATAAACTTGAACAAAGTCACCTGCATTTTCAGGTAATTACATTAATGCAAAAATCCATCTCAACCAAAATTGCTCCATGGAATTAGCATATCAAGAGCCTTCCTCAGAGAATACCTTTAAGTATCTCTCATGTTTTTCTGCAAAAAGGGGTGTAAGCTTGGTACAAATGGAAGCATTAAAGGAAATAGTAAATAGCAACTCTTCAGAGTTTATTGACAGATGCAGAAGAGGATTGCATTCCAGTCGAGTTAAGGAGGTGTAAGTGAACTGGTGATAACTGGTGCAGCTGTTTGCTGGCATAATCCTTGGAGAGAGAGATGCCTGAGTTGAGGTGAATATTCAACAGTGTCTTGCCAATTAAACTCAAATGCTGTTTTTCATGGAAGAGGACACAAAGCTGAACATTAACACAGTTGTACCATCGAATAGGAAGAAAAACACAGGTTCTGTAACATACCCAATCAGTTACTCCTGCCCTGCTGTTCTGAGAGCTTAACAAGGACCCTCAACCACTTTTGTGATATGTCCCCATGTTTGCTCCAGAGCCCAATGAAATTCAGTGCATCACTGTGAATGGAAACAATTTCTAGACTGTTTTCTCTAAATAGCATATATTTATGATTTTCCCTTAAGCCATTGCTCTGTATGGATAAAGTTTATATACGTAGGAGACCCTCCCTTTGTAGAATCATCTGGTTGGGATTTTGAAATCATTCTACTTCTGTAATATAAATGGTGGTTTGGTGAAGCATTGTAGCTCATCTGTCAAGGAAAATTTTCTGTTTCAGCAAGTCCAGAAATTTTCTAGTATGATTGTTTCTAATTTATTTTTACTGTTCTAATAAAATATCTCAAATATTGTATGAATTTTAACAATAATATTTTAAGCAACAATAATAATTGGATTACTTTATTCCACAGCAATGCCATACCAAAAACAATTAAGTAAATAGAGAAAATAGTTTCACATCTGCTTGGCTTATGATATAAGTTAGATTTGTAATTAATCTTGCTGCGTTAGGATGCTGAACGTTACAAGGTGATGGGTTCCTGCTGCACGTGTAACGTATTTTCTCCAGTCAAATTCAACTTTGCATTGACATTTTTTCTGTAATCTACCATTATATCAAAATGGTTTTCAAGTCTAAGCTGTTACTGCAGCTCTTTAAAAAAATTGTTATTATTGTTTTTTAGTTTTCAAAAATGATTTACCTTTAAAACAGGTTTTACAACAGGCAGCAGTTGTGATCATGTCATTAAGCTAACAAGGTCTATAGTTGTGCAGAGACTACCATACTATGAAAGGGGATTAGGCTTTAAAGCCCAGGTTTTCTACTAAGTAGTACTATGTTCTATTTAGCATCAAAGTGGGCTAAAATAACTGTAGAAAATATTAATGTAATTTTGTTCCTCTATTTTCATCCTTGTTCTGTGTGCAAAATCATACTTCAAAATTAATATAATCCAAATAAACTATTAGATAGAAGCCAATTTACAGTAAGTAATTTTCCTGGACAGTATGAAAAGATGCATAAAACATCAGAAATATGATGTAGCTAGACTAAAACTTAATGAACAAAACTGAGAATCACACAGCCATGGCATCAGCTAGTGTTTTTAATTCTCTTTTTTTAAATCTGTTACACCAGATGGCTGCTTTCCATTTCTTCTGGTTGTCTCCCTGTTCATTTGATCTTTAATATGCACCCCAGCATTACTGGAATTGTGCTTCTCCTGTCGAGTTGAGAGGAATGAGAGGGTCTGTGTTAGTAAGCAACCCAGCCTTCTTCCAGAATCTTTTTAGGACATCCTTTTGTCTCATCTACTTCAACTACCAGCTGTTTGGGAACCCTCTCTCCCTCTACATGGTAACTCCCATCCTGTCCTTACCAGGTTCTAAAAAAGACCATGAATAGTGGTTCTTTAACAGTCCAGAGAAAGGCAAGGGACTGTGGTGTCTGTGGTAGCTGCTCTCCTTTTTAAACAGTATTCAGTTCCAGCCCTGTGGGCCAGTGCTGCTGAGCCTTGCCATCTCCAAAGCAGTAACTGGCTATCTCCAGGTGTGAGAGGCTTCTTGACACAGGTGCCTGAACATTACCCAGAAATAAAATTAGTTTGGGTTAAAATGCATGATGCTTATCTGCACATACCCACGTTTTTGGGTATCTTGTCCTTTACATGAATGTTGTTTGGATAATGTTACACGCAAATGCTCCATTTCTTGGGGGAAAAACAAAACCCATTAATTTTTGTGGTATTTCCAGAAGCATATGCAGCCCATATCATAATTTCATAACAAGGAATTATGATACACTATTTTGTTTAACTTCTAAAAAATGACTGTGACCCTGTCTTTAAAGAAATACTGTTTTGTAAATGCTGTGATTGATTTTGCTGCTTTAATATTCATCTAAATAGAAAGGGTTCTGTATATCTCTAGAACATGCACTCTGTGACATTTTTGCAGAATTAATGGTTTATGAGCAATGAACTATCTAAATTCACCCTTGCAGTCCTATTATTTCACCTAGAGAATGAAATGACCTTTATTTTGTGTTGAAAATAGTCTACAAATATCTTGTAGTATTAGGGAACTCTGACACCTGAGGAAAACAAGGTATTTTAGGATTTTCTGTCCTGTTTTTTTTGTTGTTGTTGCATAGCTGAGTAACGTTCCTTTAATGCATTTGTCAAGGAATAGGCATTTTTTGTTCATAATTTACCTTGATGTCATTATAGGTAAATAGGCAAACAATTGCATATGTACTTAGCACATGAAGGTCTTGAATATTTTATGATCTGCTGCTTTCATATTTGAAATGGTTGGGTAGTCCTGTTTTACAGATTTTACACTTCTCTGCAGGAATTCCAATAAACTTTAGAGAAACTTGTTCATATATATCTCCTATTTGCAGTATGAACTTCTATCCTTAGGACTGAATTTTTAGGATTTAGGCCCTAATGATGTGTGAAATCATGATAGAGATACTACATTTTATAATTTTAAAGTTGTAATCAGTCAAGGCTCTTCTATATGTGAAGCTGAATATTGCAATAACTGTTTTTTATCGGTGGTGGAACACAGAAACAGTTAACAGCAAGGGAAGAGAAACATCTACAAAATTTCCTTACAATTGCATGCTAGTCTTGTTCAGAACAGAGAGGTAATTTTATGAAGTTTTCTAAAAGCCATGATTTTGTTTAACTTTGGCAGACTGTGCAACAGTACCTCTGGATGGTCTCAAGTACTGTTTTTACTGAGGGCGTTGGGATGGGACATCACACTGCATGGGGTATTATAGCTGTGTAATCTTAATTCTTCTCTTTCCTTTCCTTTTGAATTACAGTATGTAGCATTTATTTGCTTCAGTGTCAATAGTTCAAGCAGTTCATGCCTAAGTGCCACTTTCTTAGTGTAAGTAGCCTTAGACTTAAGAAAATTGTATTGAGCCATTGACTTGTTCTTCTACATTGAATAGAACTGTCACTTAGTCACTACACAAAAGAACTGTCACTTAGATCACTTAGAGCTTGTCTCCTACAGATGGAATTTATGACTTTCAAATGCAGTGTTTTTAAATATTTCACCATATTAAAGGTAAAAGTTATTTAACTGTAAAAAGTTATATAAATCTGTGGCTATGCAGCTGCTGTGAAAGGTCATTTCTGTAAATCTGACTTGAACATCTGTTCCTTTTAGTGTCCAGAATTCAAAAGACCTAGGGGCATTGCTGTTGACTGGGTTGCTGGAAATGTTTACTGGACTGATCATTCCAGAATGCATTGGTTCAGCTACTACACAACTCACTGGACTAGTCTGAGATACTCCATCAACGTAGGTCAATTGCATGGACCTAACTGTACAAGACTCCTTACAAGCATGGCAGGAGAACCATATGCCATTGCTGTAAATCCTAAAAAGGGGTATGTATGTTTGAACATGACTCTGTTTTGGTAATTCAGAAAAAGGAAGAGTTGAATAAGAGAAATAAAATGTCTACAAATGTCTAAACTTTTCCAAGTCATTTACGTAACTTTCACTCAATTTACCTGTATGTAAATCAGGATCAGTTATCTGTCATCTTTCAGGTAGCTTTAAAGACTCATAATAGATTAGTATTAGTGTTTTGAATTTCTGTATTTTTTATGTTTAATACTTTTAGGATGATGTACTGGACAGTTATTGGGGATCGCTCTCACATAGAAGAATCATCTATGGATGGTACTCTGAGAAGGATATTGGTTCAAAAGAATTTACAAAGACCTACAGGTATTCAGCTTATCCATTTTTCCTGCTTGCATGTCACTTGCAAACTCAGTCTAGATTTGTTGGCTGAATTCCAGTTTCTCACTTGCAAAAAAAAAATAGATTTACAAATATGTATTCTGGTTATTCATATGCATTTGCTAATCAAATTCTTAGTTCTGTTTTCAAATGATGCATCTTAGTACGACTTCAACTTCTGTATCAAAGCTCAACATTACAATTTCACAAAGCAGTACCAAAGAACTATACATGATCAGTTAAAAGATGATTTCTTCAATAATACTGAACAAGCAAAATCAATTAAGGGAACACCACTTAGTGGTGAGAGACTTTTTTTTAAGAATGCATATGAAATCTCACAGCTTATTCTGGTTACTTTCCTGGATACACTGCCAAATAGTATAAAACAAAGTTCAGGTAGTCAACGAAGCAACAAGTTAATTATCTCAGTATTTTACAGAACTATTTTGAAGCTTGACAGTACCTGTTGGGATCTTACGAATTACCATTAAGACTCCATCGGCAGGATAAAAGTCATTTTTATGACAAAGGAAATTATAAATACAGAATTAAATATGTCTCTTTTAAATAGCACCGTCCTGTCTTGAAACCACAAATGATTTGTTCATGACCCATTTTTCTCATGCAATATTTGGTGCTTCCCCAGGCTTACAATGATAATTTGTTAATATTGCATTGCAAATTAGGGGTTATCCAACTTTGGTCTGCATATCTGTTGAAACATAGGCTTCTTCCAAGAGGATGCTGTCTGAATATCTAAGCACCTCAGAAGCTGCCAGTATCACAGCAACATGTAATAATACTTTAACAGACTGTTAAGTCCCATGCTAAGGTGAGCTTAGCAAATTACACTCATCCCTTAAAGGAAAGTCTCTTCCTCTATTGACATGATTAGACTGAAATATAGCAACTTAAGAACTTGAATTCGTGATCAAGTGAGCTTTGAGGAGAGGAAGCTTATGCTCTGTAGGTAAGAAGCACAATAGTAATAATAAAAACACCTAGTCAATAGTAAACTCATTAAGAAGCTTCTGGTTATTCAGACTGAAAGCAGCAGAATTTTATATTTATCAGAGTCATTACTTGTTCATTGCTGAACTTCTAATATAAAACATTGTGAACACACCGGGTACACAAATGACTAGGTTTAGTTCTGATTCCTGGAATTGTGCTTTTTTGTCTCTTATTATCAGTCTGGTTGATTGCCAAAGTTATGTCCTACAGACCCAGTTACCACTTCCTTGGTCATTAAAGGGTGTTTAAACTTGCCCCTTTTTTTGGGCATCAGTATTTGATTAGTGATTTTTCTAAAATTTTGTAGGTAGTAAGGTTATCAAACTTACCTGAAAATGCAAGTGTTTACTACTTCTCTGACCAGATGCAGAACTGCATGAACTTTTTTCCATAAAATTTTCCTTGGTATATTTTATATAAAAAAAACTTCATATAAAGATTTAACAGACATCTGTCTCCTTACAAGGATGAGTAAAATGCAAATTAAGAATATTAGAAGCATTACCAAAAATGAGCAGGCTTTGCAAAGAGGGAATTTCACAAGTACCTTGCCATAGTATTGCATTTACCTGTATCTGCTGCCTGAAAACACTTTTCTGGCATCCTGTACTTCATGGTAGAAAGTAGACATTTATGGAATCTCTTTAAAGTTTCTGCAGGTATTTCACACAGATCCATGTCTTTGTAGAGAGACTGCAAAGAAAGAGTCCAAGCCTTTCTTCCCTAGGGAGGCTTTACTACTATTGTGTAGATGAAGTTTAAGGTTTTGTTTAACATCTGTATTTCAATGCTTTCGAATCTATTATGTCAAGTTTAAGAGAGTGAGAGCTTGAGCACATGGGCTTGACTTCACAGGATTTACATAAAAATGACTATCACAGGAGTGTCATATGTATAAAACAAAAAATAAGTACTTTTCTACATTGTGTTATCTCTGATACGCTGAAAGATACATTGAAAATGTTATTTATTTATTTATTACTTGATGTTTAAATATTCTTATTATAATGCAAATAATTTAAATCTGGAGAGTGAGGACTGCTTCTAAATTATTCCCCCATACCATGCATCACACAGACTTGACACAGTTTGATTATCTTTTACCAGAAATTATTCTCCTTAGTTGTAAGCCTGAATACCAGTCTGTCTTTTACAGATTTTTTTTTTTAATAGAATTGAAAATGTAAATATATTTCAGTGGTCCTTGCATCAGACTTCCTCCAATTCCTCTGATCTATCTGTACCTGATTTGTTATTACCTTAAGAGGAGTATTTTTGCTGTTATGTATAGTTTCTTTTGATGTATTTTTTTCTGACTTTACCTACTTACATAAATAGGAAGAAAAATAGTTTTTCTCATTCTTATTAAAAACACACTACAACTTCAAAAGCTTAGAATTAAATTATTTTATGGTTCAAATATTTTTTTCAGGCTGAAGCTTTTGACATAACCTAAAATGGCATATTATGCATTTGATCATCCTCTATGAAACATGGACTGCTTGATTTAACCATGTAGTTAGTGCCTAAAGGCTGAGTAGTCACAATGTTATCTATCTTTTATTCTATTCGTGCTCTTCTCTCCATCACTCACTCTTGTGCTTTCATTTCATATATATGCCAATGTAGACATCTGTCAATATTACTATTTAAGTCTTGCAGAACTAATGTTATTAAATAATCTGATTTTTAATTTTGTCATAATTAGTGTATATGAAGCATCAGTGAGAACAAAAGAACACAATCATACACTTGTGGAAACTGAATAGGTTTGGAGATTCTATAAAATCTGAATACTTTGTTTTTAACACATGGTCACTCTACTGCTTAGAAATGTTTTGGCTTAATAGACCTTTTGTTGGTAGAGCAAATTACAGGGTTAGATTCTATATTTAATTCCCACCTGGTATATATCTCTATCTGCTGGGGATAATGGCTTTGAAAAGGTACTGACCTTGGAGGAGTAAGTTAAAGAAAGTAAAAATACCCCACGATTGCCTCAAGGGGAAGGTTTAAGCAGAAGGTGTTATATTTTATTCGTTCTGGTTTCCAGTCAAGGCTTTTTATTGTCACCATTGCGTTCACAACAGTATGAACGAGATAAAAATGCAGTTACATAAAAATAGTAAGTTTTTTTTCAGTGTTTATATAAGATTTTGAATTTTCTTCTCTTTTTAGGTCTCGTAGTGGATCAGTTCAGTCAACGTTTGTTCTGGGCTGATTTTGAACTATCTGTTATTGGCAGTGTACTTTTTGATGGTTCCAATTCAGTTGTGTCTGTGAGCACTAAACAAGGTATGAAGAGCTCTTATGTAACATGATTTCTATTTTATTTCAATTGGCAGAAGTTTCACTATTTATATAAGCTATACAAGCAAGAAGCAGTGATTATTAAGTAAAATCCATTGCTTTTGTTAGATGATACTTCAGCTCTTATCTACAGAAATAGATATTTAAGATAAGATAATTTTAGCTTTATGATAATCTGATAAAATTCCTTTCGGGGAACAAAGATTCAGTGATATGTGTAAGTCTACAAGTTCATTACCTAATCATTAGCTTAGGTATTATCAAATAACATTGTGATTACATTGGACTTGCACAGAAACAAGAACACCTTGACTAGTTGAAACGAGAGCTGTCTGTTTGGCACAAGAATTGTATAGTTTATAGAACAGTTGATCTGAATCAATTCTGGGAAAAATAATGGAGCTGGCTTTCAGGTCAGTAAGTACTCACAGAATCCTGCTAGCAGAATGTGAATGAGGAAAATTCCTTTCATAAGAAAAGAGTTTCTGGTTAAGCACACTTTTTTTTTTTTGTATTAGAATTGCAGGTTTGATAATATATGTAACAATGTATGAAATTTGAATAGAAATGAAGAAACATTTTAAAAATCAAAAAATTTGAAAGCAGACTTTTTGGAGGATTTCTTAGTGAGCAGTTGGTAGTGGAGTTTCATCAGGATGATATTACATATAGTACTACTGAGTGTTTTAACTTCTGATCTGGAATTCACCATGGGGCTCTGGAAGATACTATGAAAAAATTTCCATAATCCAGATTGAGCAGGACCCAGACTGAAACCATTTTATTTTGTTTGAATAGCATTTTATTTTTATTTTATACTCCTCAGAACTTTGCTTGCATCTCCTTTGGTCATGGTATTTTGTAGTGGGTAGGCTGTAATCTATTACAAAATACACACATAGTGCTTGTGCTGAGTCCTTGTGGCTGGTACAAAGACTGACAGACTGTCCTAGGTTATGTTTTAATATGCCTCAATAGTCATCTGTATCCTAAAAATAAATGGAAAGGAAAATATTCTGTAGGAGGAAAAAAAGACACAACAATGCTACAGAATAGAAAGCATATAGGTTGAGCATGGCAGGGCTATACTACACTGTGCCAAATGCAGCAAATTTGGGGGAATTTATCTTTTTGTTGGGGGAATTTATATAACTTATAGAAGGAAAAGTGGAGTGTTCAGACATTGTTGCTTCCAATCTAAAATACAAGATCACTGAAGCAATGCCACCTTTTGTCTTCTGTTGGCATTTGTAGCAACTATGGGAAAATTAAAGGAATAGGACCAAAGGGAAATTGGGGGTTTTTAGAAATTGCTTTGCAATGAGACTGAAAACGTAAAACATTTTAATTAAACCATTAAAATAATAAAATAAGAATTTATACAATAAAGTATTGAATTAGAATTTGTAAATGTTTTTAGTGAAATAAAGTACTAGGCACCATGTACTGATAGAGTGGAAAAACAGGAGAAATAAATAAAGGCTGATATTTGAAACTAAATAAACAAAAGTGAAATACAAAACCAATTTCACATTCAAAGGGGATAATAAGAGGAACAAAGTGTCACAAGGACTGATCAGTTCTGTTTCTTTATCTCAGCTTGCAGGGTTTTATATTTTTCTCCCTTTTCTCCTTCCTCTTTGGGGGGTGAGGGGAAAGGAGAGAGCAGCCACGTGGTGCCCAGCTCCTTGCTGGTTTTAAACCATGAATAAGTCAGAAGCTATTGCCTTGTTACATGGGTAAATGTGTGAAATTCTACAGCCAGTTGTGCATAGAAAAATCCAACTACATGATCTAACCAGTGAGGTTAGATCAGACTGAGGAAGCAGTGGAGACTTAACATCTTATATTGCATTAATTCACTATAATTATGATTTAAAATAAGTGTAGTATGAAAGTCAGCATTTCAAATACGTTGAGAATGAGCTGAAGAAATATTTTGGCAGAATATATTTCTTTTGTATATATGTAAGAATGTTCTAACTAGCTAGTTGTTACTGTAGCATTTCCTTACTTTTCAATAATCAAACCATTTCAGATGTTATCTTGTGTGGAAAACTAACACAAAGCTTAAGATTTTTAGTTGCTTGTAGTAAGAGAAGAGTTCCTTTTAAGAAGATTGGTTTTTTAAAGAAAGTCTTCATGGGTACAAAAAAAGTAGTACTGTCTTTAGGTGCTAATTGCAATAGTGCCATTGAAGTTATTATTAAACCAAAGTTGTTTATTATTTAATTATGAATATCTGGTTTTATTATTCATTTTTATTTAAGGTTTACTGCATCCACATAGAATTGATGTTTTTGAGGACTACATATATGGAGCAGGTCCTAAAAATGGTGCATTTAGAGTCCACAAATTTGGCAGGAGCCTTGTGGAGTATCTAAGTGTGGATGTTGATAAAGCGAAAAGCGCCCTGGTTTTACACCGCTACAAACAGATGGACTGTGAGTAAGCATAACTACTGCAAACTCAATCCTCAGCAAGGTCTCCTCCAGGGGGGGACAAAAAAGTAACCAGGTTGTATAAATATAAAAAAAGAGCAAGTTCTCACATTTATTTATATAAATTTGATTTGATTTTTTCGGATGCATTCTCTCATTTGAGAGGACATTGGACAAATACTTGCCTCCTGTCCCCACACTGTAAATGAGATATAAAAAAATCAGAAAAGAGCTGCATACAAATGCCTCTACCCAGAAGCAGATGATGTTTCTTACAGCATATTAGCAGTATATTTTTCATTACTTGAATAAATTCTCTCCCGATGTGTGTCTTGCACTGTCACTTGAGTGACAGTGTTCACAGACTTCAGGCTGTTGAGATCCTGGAAACTGGAAGTGTATCAGAATTTTTATATCTGATTATTTATTTTTCCCTAGTTCTAGAACCAGGTGTAATTTCTAAAATAATAATAGTTTGTTAATACTTTGTCTTTTTAAACAGTGCCTAATCCATGTTTGGACCTGACATGTGAATTCATTTGTTTACTCAACCCTTCTGGTGCAACATGTGCTTGTCCAGAAGGAAAATCATTGGTGAATGGAACATGCATTGATCAGAACCTCCTAGGTAGGTATTGAAAACTGCATGAGAACCAGAAAACAAACAACTGGTCACTTTTGTCATGGCAAGCAGCTAAGGCTAGGCTGTCTTAGAGTCAAGATTTTAATGATGTTGCTCAATATACATATTATTTATCTGAAGTAGACATGAAATATGTGGAAGCAAAATCCCTGATTCCAAAAAAAAAATGTTTACATTCATCAAAATTAAAAATGAGCTCTCAGCTGAACTGATACAGCATGATAGTTAAAAGTGAGTGTGTACATGTGTCAACCAAAAGAAGTTTGAAAAGTTCTGAAGCATTTTGGAGTTCAAATGAAGCATTAACCATTCAGGAGATAAAAATAACCTTAAAGACCATCAAGAAACACCTCTGCTTAGACTGCAGCAATAGTCAAGAGGCAGTAAAAGCAACATAGCAAATGATAATGACTTTGAAGTAGCAGGCAGAAAGAACAACTGAAATATATTTATCTAAAATTATCTCTTTTGGTAATATCTGTAATGACTAATATCAAGACACAGGAAACCAGACTTCATGGTAAAAGACCTACTAAGTTCTTGCTGTAATTTAGAGGAGGGGAAAAAATCTTCTTTTCTGTAGAAGAAGATTAAGTACTCTAAAATTATGCCCACTCTAATTGAGGCCAACCTGAGCTGGTCAGACTGCTGATATGAATTCTTAGCCAGCCTGAATTTCAAAAGGTTTTAGAAATCACAGAAGAGGATTTCTTATGTGTATGAGAAGTCAGAATGTATTAAGGTGTTTTTCTGATGTTTAATTCCAGGTTCAGGAGTGTAAGTGATACATATTTTGGTGAGATCCTCAGTACTTAAAATGCTCTGTTTAGCAATTAAATTAATTTACCTATAGTGTCATCATTCTGTGGAGAATTTCACTGATTTATACTGCCTAGTCTTTAAATGTTGAATTAACCCAACTATGTTTTAGTGTTTTATGATGTGGTATTAATAATGCTATCCTGCCTAGCAGCATTTCTCTTTACATATCAAGAAATTTTGGAATAACTTAGAGAGTAAAACAGTATCAGAAATTGTGTTCTAGATAACAAAGCCATTCATGGTTGTTTGCTCATGTGGGGGTACATTGTATGCAATGCATTTAGGGTACCAGCTTTTATATGTACTACACTATGTTCTAGCAAAAATGCAGTAAATGAAAGCTTTATTACTGTCCACCCTTGGCTGAATACTTATCAATGCATATTTATATAATAGTTATACAACTAGAAAGTAGTTTACAGCTGGTTTACAACAATTTCCTCTCTTAAGAGAGAAGCAGCTTCACTGAAGTAAATGAATAGAAAACATTAATATAATGTAAAAGGCTTCAAACTCTTGAGACAAATCAGTCTGAACACTCTTTGTCTTCAGAAAGCATCACCCTCCCTGCCCCTCCACATGTCAGCTCTTTGTTCATCTGAGATGGATACTTCTCAAGTTTTTCTGCTGACACAGTATCACTTAAAAATTATTTCAGATGACCCATAGTTACTACTTAGGTGTTGGAGAAAGAACAAATAAAAAAATATTATTTTTCACGGGTGACTGGTAGTAATTTGAGGCCATTATTTCAGTAATGCTGCAGTTTTACTAGTGGGACAAAGGATTATGCCATGGCAGAGTTTTAATGAAGGTATGTTTTTATGAGAGAAAAATCTGAAAAGGCTTTAAAATTACTTCACTGCTGGCTGTAAGTTTTTATGGATAGACAGAAAATGCCTAGAGAAGCATTTTTAATATATTGATAATTTTCAGTATCTTCCCACAGCTGCAATATCTGTTATGCCTTTCTGAGGGGCTGCTGAGTAAGTGTTTCTTAGTTCTCTGATTACAATTACATTTCAAGTAATGTCTAGTGTAGGCTTTTTTGTACATTTTTTCCTGTATGTTATTTTTGTAATAGTAGATTGCAGGCTTTGTAGCCTCACACATTATAAATTATGAATTGAAACAAGCTTCAGTATCATAGTGCATTAATAAGTGTATATTTTTGCACTATTCAGACTTGAAAAGAAAAAAATATTATGTGGATGTGAAATGTTTGTCTCATGCTGGCACTCCACTTAGGCTTTCAAGGATCAGCAGATATTCCGGAAAATCCAGAGCTGACCTTAAAATCATCATCTTAAATTCATATAGGTTTAAAATTAATGGCTGGCTGACATTGCTGACATATAATTAATGGCTGGCTGACATTGGGATGACAACCCACTTGCTGTTAGTAGGTCACTGATAGACTGCAAACAAAAAGCAAGTCAAGTTCTTTTCCTTTAGGAAGTTATACAGGATGGAATTGGGGGGGGAGGAAGAGCCATAGTCTTCCTTTCCTTTTCTGATGAAGAGCTAGAGAATGCATATGAAATATTCCTAACCCCATACTTTCAGCTGGTTTAAATCTCACATTATCTTGTCTTCAATGTCTCAGCAATTTTGGCACTGTTGTGGGTGTCATTAATCTAAAATTACAATTCTTGCCTTAAATGTGCATTAAATCTGAATACTCAACTTTTAATTGTTTCACCAGCATCTCAGGCAACTGATGAGAACAGCTTTTGGGTTTGATTTGGCTTTTTCAAGCCAGAGTTATTACAAGACAAGTGTGTTGCACCATTCGGGATGTTTTTATGACAAAAAGAGAGTTCCTGTGTGTTCTAAGCTAAGGTTCCATCTCATTTCTCCCCAGATAATTATGAGTCACAAAGCAGAGTTCTTCTGTGGTTTATTTATCGACTGTAGCAGGCCTGACGTTTTCAGTTTAGAAGCTACCATTTAGTTTTCAATTGGGTAGAGTACCACTTCATTTTCCTAAAAGAGACCACTGAATTAGCATCTATTAGGTTTATTGTATCTAATTGACTGTAGCAGTGTGAAGATGAAAACATACCAAGGGGATGAAAATACAGAGACATGCACTGGACAAAGTCAGTGTGTGCCACAGCTGAGTGAACAAGAGTCATGAACTCTTCCAGGAGTTCTGTATTCTGAGCTACACGTTATCACTTTCATCTTAGGAGGAGAATATTTGTGCTCTCTTGGCTGGATGAAAAACCTAAGAAAAATTATGACGACTCAGATCTGATGTTCCTTCTGATCAGAGAGGAAACATTTAATTTAGCATGGTGTTTCCTTCAGCACATCTCTGTGGGGACTTGCCCACTGCACACACAGATTGCAGACAGACCAGGTGCTTTGGCTGGGGATGTAGAGGTTAATCCCTATATACCTTCTTTTTTACCCACAAAGTCTGCCTCAGGGAGCTGTACTAGCAAAAGCTATGGCAGTTCAATCCATGCTATTTTCTTGGGGTTTGTCCTGCTTTCAATCATTTTAGGTATCAAATAGAATAGGGGTCACACAGAAATCTGCTTCTGGTTTGGAAAAACAATCTTCTGTTTACCTCAGTATCCTCTGTATTTACAAAGGGGTTACTGTTGGGACTGCTGTTTCCCAGAACAGAAGAAACTAGATTACATTACAGCACGTGTCAGTTTTTTTCTCACTGTGCATCCTTTTCTTAGCTCTTCTCTTCCAGCTGTATTTATAAAGCAAACAGATTTTTAAGAAAAAAAAATGTGAAGGGAAACCAAAGAGGAGGGTTTGTCTTACAGTTTTGAGACAAAATTTCAGGATTACAACTTGTTCTGTTAAGTTCCAGCCTATGGAAAACTGGCAGATAGTAAGATCCTCCTCTGGAACGACAGGAAGATTTTTACAACCTTAGCATCACATTAGAACTCTGCACTGTGTCTTCAACAAGTGCATTCAACTCAGTGAAGAAGGATGAGCTACACCCTTGTCTGAAGGATAGGCAAGAACAAGTAACTTTCTGCTGTTTTTCACTGTGGGGAGAGAAACTATTCTTGTTCCAAAGAATGTAGTTCATGAACCTTGTGCTCATAGCATCATCTCTCTATTTAACTGCCTAGTCCAGAAATCAGTGGGTTTTTCAGTGGGAAAAAAAGTAGCAAAAAGTAAGATGTATTTTTTCTCTAGGAAGTGTTGTTATACAAATGCCAGTAAAATGTCTGTGTGATTGGGGGATGGTGATGGAATGTCAAAAAATTGAAATGAGTGAAGGAAAAAATAGCAGTAGAGTTCTTAAAGCTTTGTATTGCTGGTTTATCAGTGTTTCTTCTGTGTAAGCTTTTCCTTGTACTTTCCATTAAAGAGTCAAAAATGGAGCAAATAAACCACAAATCTATTAAAGTTTTTGTCAGAAAGAAAAACATAACAAAAATGGCAAATCAAAGTTAGTTGATTCTTTATTAAAGATGTATTAAGATGGAAATAAGCAAATGAAGGCAGCAGAAGGCAAAATAATCAGGCTAGGAGAGAATACATAAACTTACATGACCTGTAACCCTTTCATTTCATTCATGTTAGAGAGATCCAGGAGCAAGACTAGGAGTGGGATAACAAGTGAAAAGGTTTCTTTCTGCCATTTCAGAAGTGAAAAGAGCAGCTGAGAGGCCTTTGAGTCCAAGTTCCAGCAAGCTCAGCAGTATTGAATCGACTCCAGAGAGAAACTTTTCTGATGTTTTATATTTTAAACTTTGTTCCAGTAGTGGGCACTTACCAAGGCTATTCTCAGTTCTTCTTTCAGAGGTCTTTATTCGGTAATTCAAATTAAGAGAATTCATCTTCTTATAACAATTCTGCTTCTCTGCTGTATACTTTCTCTTCCTGTCTTCTCCTATGAGATTGTTCTGCTCCTGTCTCCCACACAAAGGAATCTCATCACCTTTTGTACTCAGCTGATTTGAATCAGTAAGAGTAATTTGATTCTTGTATTTACCTTCAGACAACAAAGCAGCAGCATTAAAAACTTTATATTGTTAAGGTGTAACCTAGTATTTTAAAACTGGCTTATCCATTCTATCTTTCAGTCTTATTTCTTAGCTTATTTAAAGTCCACAGTTGTATTAACTTTTCCTCTGTTTCATATTAGATGTGTTGAAACTCTTGAATTTTGAATGTTTTCTAGAGAACAAAATCAGTAGCAAATGTTAATAATTCTATGATAATACAAAATACTAGAAACTTTTTTTCGTTTTTCAGGAACATTCTCAGTTGACTATTGCATAAAGTTATAAATTTGCTCTATTTCTAAAGTGTAAGACATGAGTGTCTCAGTCATTGAAAGCCAATTGAATTGGCTCTGAGCAATTTTTGGCTCAGTATGTTTTCCAGAAAATACAAAGGCATGTATTTCTTGGCATGGTGAGGGTAACTTTCAAGTTTGTAGTTCACTTTGTATAGTTCTAGAGATGCCTTTTGATACTCCATTTTATTCTTGAATTCATAGCCTGTCTTAATTTCCTTTTTATTTTTTTTTTTCAAATTTTATATTACAATTCTGTGGAATTACTCTAGAAGAGAAATGTAACATGGCTTTAATGTGCTACCAGAATGGTTCATAAAAACGAGCACTTGTTGGTACTTCAGTGTTATTTATTCAGTTTTTAGCAAGTTCTGCTCTATAAACTCATGACTAATGATAAGTAAAACAGATAAGATAAGCAAAACAAAAATAGACCTTCTCTCCAATAAGATATGCTACATTATCCATTTAAACAACCTTTGTAATGAGTAAGTGAAGAATGGTTCATGGAACATCAAAGGCTTTAATGAACCACACAAATAAATAAAACACTGAGGCATCCTCAAATTCCAAACCACAAAGTGGCTGTGTTGCAGCAGAGGTTCATATCCAGAATGGGTACCAAAAATTAAGCACATATGGTATTTCTTATCTTTATTGTAAAACACCTGAAATAATGTTGTACCAGTCAGTCTCCCACAATAACTTCTAGGTTTATTGTCTAGTTTCAGCTTAATTTGAGAGAGGTGCAATTGCCTGGAAGATCATCAGTTCCCAAAAGTTTTGCTTAAGTAAGTTTTTGTTTAAAACTCAGCACAGGCCATGCTTGGAGGCACCCAGACCATGCTGAGGAGGGGCATGCCCAGGCAGGAAAGAGACACTTGAGGTCACCCAGGGAAAAGGCTTCTGGATAAGCACAGCTATGTTACTGGACTCTGCAGAGTCCATGCTGGAGAGATCTATTCATCAAGAGGATATCCAATATTCCAAAATTCTGTACTTACAGTGCAGTGGGTTTCTTTAAACATCCAAAAATGGAGTTGATCTGCCTGTGTCAGTCAGTGTTAGACCTCAGCAGGCACAGGACAAATGGGAACCTTGACTTTTTCAGTTGTTACCTAGAACAGATAAATTCAACAAAACATCTGCAGCTGGTGGATATATCACTGATGAGTTCTTAGTGCCTGTGGTGTCCCTCTTGTTAAAAGGCATGTAGGCTCAAATGCTGGATTAGTTAAGAAGCAGCCTGGCTTCACAGGATTTGTTTTGCTGTGTGAGAAATGAGAGGTCTCATTGCTGAGAGCACGTTTGGGGCTGGAAAGGTGCTTGTCTGTTTCTCAAGGATTACAATTATTTGGATGTTTGAGCATTGTATGCATGCTAGTCTGTAATTAATTTCTTGTTGGTGTCATTGGATGATTTTATATCTTGTTCACTGACATGGAGATTTATTTTTCAAAGTATTTCCAAGACAGGCACGACTCTAATTGCAAAACCACTTTATAGAAAGATTGAATCTGGCCTAATCAGAATTTGTATCACCTCGTACCTCCCCACCAAGACCGTGGCACTGCTGTAGGCACTAGGTGAATGCAGAGCAGCAGGCAGTATCTCTTCTCAGAGATTTTACAGACTGAGCAGATAAGAAAAAGAATAACTCCGATAATATGATTGAGGAGCAACAAGTTAGCTTGCAAATATTCATTTTTAAGGAGAATTTAAAGGATGAATAATTTCCTTTTAAATATTTTGGATAAGGAAGGTTGAGGTCACCAGAAAATGACCAGGAAGGTTTCTGAGAGCCCCAGGTGAAACCAACTTTCATTTTTTCATTTCTTAAACTAACTAGGACTGATAGTTTCAAACAAGAATTCATACTGTCCTTACTAACTTACATCCTAAGGAGGTCAGCTTTGCATGGCATCATCTGGATGAAGTACAACTGCCATGCACATCCCCCAGCTCTAGGATGCCACCTCCCAGCTCTGCTGTACAGGCTGGGGGCGCCCCCCCCGCCCCCGCCCTGCCACCTCCCAGCTCTGCCGTACAGGCTGGTGCAGCCTCCACTGCCCTTGCAGCTCTTGACAGCCTTTCCACTTATGGTCTCCTAAATGTTTTGTTTTTTCTTTTTTTTCTTAGCACTTGGGAAACAGAAGTGATAGTTTACTTTTGCCATTGTGAAAAATTATATTTCCCCCCTATTGATAGAGATCCATAGCTCTATTTAAGCTGCAATGTTCTGTTTTGTCACTTACGTGAAATGGGATTGGTGAAAACCACTCCGTGTGTGCTCTTGCTGCAGATGATACCTGTAAATTGACCTGTGAAAATGGAGGGAAGTGCATTATAAATGAGAAGGGGGACCCCCGGTGCCACTGCTGGCCAAGTTACTCGGGTGAGAGGTGTGAAACCAACCACTGCTACAACTACTGCCAGAACGGGGGAACCTGCGGAGCCTCCCTCCTCGGTAAGGAACCCTGAGCAGCTGGATCCTGCTCTTAGACCTCCCTTAATGCAAATGTTTGAATTTGTTCCTTGTTTGTGATTTTTTTTTTTTCTTTTTGTAGCTTATTAGCTTTGTTTATATATAAGTATATATATCATAATTATACTTTACAGAGTATACTCTACTACTACTACTATATAGTAGTGCTTTTCATTCCCATATCTGTGTTTTAGCAGAATTAAGATGCATCCCAGAAAAAGGAATGTATAAGTATTCAGTATAAATATGCACATGTTGAGATGTAGAAATGAAATTGTAAAGCATAAAGTCCAGTCAAACTACATGTGGAACAAACCCACATATCTTGCTCTCTCTTCATCTCAATTTTCCCTCTAGATTTTTACGTGCATACATGGAGATATTTCCATAAATTGTAGAGTTGTATGACTTCAATCTTCTACCTTTGTATTACTGGAATTCACAAAATAAGCATTTCACTCATCTAATTCTAAGGAAAAGTTGGTTGATTAGGACTCAAATCCTTTGTTTTTCTGAAGGGATTTTAAATTACCTCCCTTATCTTCAGGGAGATTATCCTAACTGTCAGAAAGTGGGTATTTGACAACTGATCTTTGTCCCTAACACATTAGCTGTTGTAGCTTGTATAATGCAGTTAATTCTCAGGATAGAGAGGGAAAATGGGATAAGAAGTACTCTGAAATTTAGTAATTCTGAAAGAAAGGAGCAGTTGAATTCTATTTTATACTCCAAGGAATATTTAAATACTTCAGTCAAAGTAGAACTGCAGAGGTTTGCTGTCTAGTCTCTTCTCAGAAGCCTATCAGGTGCTGAAGATGGTGTGAGTGATTTTCTCCAACGTGATGAAGGGACCAAGACCCTGATCTCTGAAAGAAAAGTACAGGCATGTGTCTGGAGAGCAGGAATTTGTGACTGTTCAGTGCAAGCTGAGATAGCTCACTGTGATGCAGTTAAGTATCTTAATCTCTGTGACAGAGAGGGCCTAGATCTCACTGGTTTCCTCAGCACTCTTTACTAATTAATTTTAACTTGTATAATTTAGTAATTTAGCTTCACTTACTATGCTGGCTTCTCTGGAGTCTCTTCTTATTTACTGAGATGTGGTGGCAAAAACCCAAGTGAATGCAAATCTAGCAATCTGCTGTGTGCCAGAGAGGATTTTGGGTTCTGAGTACTTGGGGGTTAATAATGTTATTCATAGTTAACATTACTAAGAATGACTAAATACCAAAACATGAAAATTATTTGTACTTGAAGTTGATTAATTATACTTGAACCTGCTTCTAACAGCCAGTGGAACTACTGACACAAAGGATGAGCAGAGATTTTTATCAATGTAGTGAGATCAATACATGTTTATTGAGGACCTGCAAGTGAATGGAAGAACGTCATGAGAGATTTAAATGACATGCAGAACTTTGTCATCTGAAGAGAGGATGTTTACTCCCACATCTTTACATGCTTGGCATTTAATTGATACTTTTGTGGGGCTAGAGGGCTTCATAAAATAGTAACTCAACTCCTAGAATTCAGCTTAGTTGCCCAGGTTTTATTTCATCTTTTGCTTTTGGCATAGGGTCGCTCACCTCCAGCAGCTTGTGATTTCCTTACCAGGCAGCTGCCACTTGCTCTGCTCACACAGCTATGCTGTCACCTGGATGCTTTTTGTTTTATTTCCCCCCCTCTCCCCCCTTCTAAATCCAGCTTCTGAAATCTCTCAGCCTTGCTGAAATAATTAGTAGGTTTTGTCACCAGGGACTAAAGGAGAGGTATGAGCAGATTCTACAATGTACTTCTGCTAAATTGTTAATTGTGGGTCTGGCTTCTACAGGGGTCCTGGAGGTGCATTAGCCTTACTTCTGCTTGATCTCAAACAAGGTGATGTGCCTGCTCCAAAAATTCATCAAGAGAGATAGTATGGGTGTCATCACAGTCCACATCTCACTACTCAATTGCCTGAGTTTTGGGAATCTGAACCTTTAACTGTAATTAAAGTTTACTGTACCACACGTGGCCTAAGTGTGAAAGCCTCTGTGAGCCAAGACCAGCAGAGAGCTGGTTCTGATAACTCCTACTGGGCATACCTGCTAACAGGAGTATTATTCTGGTATGATTTGTCCACTTTCCCAGTTTGATCAAGTTTTTCATATTCATGTTTCAAGCTAACTAGATTTCCTGCCTGCCAGTTCCAGTTCACAAGGGCAGCCGTGCCTTATAGCCTGTGCCATAACTGTCACGTTCTGGAGATGTGGAAAAAGGTGGCATGTCTTGTAAATCAGTGCAACCCCATACAGCATTCCAGATAAAAATTTCAGATTGATCTACATCTCATCTTCCTGGCATGCCTAGCCCTCGGACCCTGTAAATATCCTATTAAGAGGAAAACTCTATTTTGGACCAGACTCTGTTTCTTAGCTGTATCAGGCCATAAATCGTGTGTTACTGATACAAACTGCATGTCAGTGAGATGTCCCCTTGTCCTGGTTTAATCTCTAATCCATGATATACTAAGGGCATTATCTATTTTACAAAGGGAAGATAAACTGAACTCCCCAAAGGCACTGAAAGCTGTAATTAAGTCAACAAAGCTTAATTCCTCAAGTGTTTTTACAACAAGTGTTTCCTCTTTCCAGTCAAATACACCACTGTGGAAAGCGTGTAACTCAGTTCTTGCACTCCGTGGGTGCACATGTAGCTGCAGGGGCTGCACACGCCCTTCCCAGTTTGGACTGGGGGTGTGAAATCCAGACCAGAGCAGCGTTCACTCACTTCCTGAGCATTGTCTCTGCCTCCAGGAGTTGTTCTGCTTTGTCTGGTTCATATGAGAGTCATTAGTGTACATATTACTTTACTCTTGCACACTGCTACATGCAGGAGTAAAAAAGGTTCTGTATTACCAGGAACTGCAGTTTTTCCCTAATGTTTGTAGAAATTAAGCACTATATTGTGTCTAGATTCATCTTATTACATCCTACAAAGTTGACCTATTCAGTAATAATAGATATGTTGCATGCGTTTTTTTATCTTCTTTACCCCCCAAAAAAAAAATCTCGCATCTCTGGAAAGTATAAAATTACTATTTTAAAATAAAGTCAGCTCAGTCTGATTTTAGTTTGATCTGCTGTGCTATTGCTATCTGTGCATACCACCTCCTGTACTACAATGCTGACAGCCAGTTCCTCAAAAAGCAGCAGTTACACTTTTGATCCATTCTACAACTGACTCATGAAACCGTCCTGCTAAACTGATGCAATCACGTTCAACATATTTTCCTAATTTTATTTTTTTAAAAAAAAATATTTATTTATTTTTGTTCAAAACAATGAAGCTTTTTCCTCTGGAACTTGCAGAAGCCATATGCATGCAAGTGCCAATCCAAATCCTTTCCACAAAATATAAACAGCCTTTGATAATTTCAGCTTGCTTGACTCTGTCTTTCTTAAGTGCTGATTGCCCTTATCAATTCTCAAAAATTACCCAGCTAAACCAGCTTAGAGGCATTTGATCTGATGAGTGTCATTCCACACCCGTGCCCTTTGGAAAGCTCAGGGGCTGCCAGTAAATTTAGCCTGGCAGGGAGATGAGTTTCTGCTGGGTCCCCACGGCTGGGAGGCTGCTCTAGGAGCCAGGGAATCTCCTTGCTGTTGGCTTCTGGCTCAAAAGCTGAGGAAGAGCTGTCCTGAAAACAAACCTTTCATCATACTCTGGCATAAATACAGTGATGCAGCACATGAAATGCTCTTCTAGTCAATGTGTGTGTTCTGGTGAATGTGTAAATCCAGTTCTCCTACACCACCAAATATATAACAGTAATGTGATAACTAATTAAGTAAATTGCAGAGTATTACTCATTTTTTTAAAACATGATTGTGCTAAATCTTTGCTGGATGTGTTAAGTTGTAGAACCTCATTATCTGCACACAAATGTTAATTTGTTAAACAAATCCCACTGGCAATTCAGGGATTATTCACTGTTGGTTTACTTGCTGCTAAGCCTTTTGGCAAATTCCTATGTGAACATTATACAGCTAGAGATTGGGGCAGCTTTAATTAAAATTTATAAGTTTATGACAGTTGTATTGAACTACAATAATTGAACAAAGAAAATGTCATCAGTTAATTAAAAGTACACATCTGAGACATGTAATTAAAAGTTTGGGTATAATAATGAACACTTTCCAGTAAGCTAAATTAATAGAAATTTGGAAAATATTAAATGTTACCATAAAAAAATGTACTTCCTTTCTCCTTACAATGTAAAGTAAAAATGTTGGAGCAGTAATTTACTAAATATCTTGAACACAATAACTAGGTCTAAGTAGCTTGCAAAATTAGGTAAATATATATTTGTACTAATGAGAAAGAGTATGGCTAATCATGTGGAATTATCTTTGCATCAAAAAGAATAAAAAAAACTTCTATCTTTCCACTAAATGAAAATACATGACATTTTTGAGAATACAAAGTAGATATCATTTTATATTCTAATTTATTTTAATTTAATTTTACATTTAATTTATAAGCAAAACTAATTGATTTTGTGACCCAATGGTGCATACTGAGAACACTGTCAGTGAAGAACCTTTTAACTTTGCTCATGTTGTACTGGTCCCAGTAGTCTCAAAGGAGGATGCTACCTCCTCTCAGCATATTTAGCCAGCCGTCAAGTGAGTCTGGTCAGGTCCACAGCTGATCTAAGGGTCCCACCAGAAAACCCACAGACAGCCTTGGTAAGAGCAGCCTTTGAGACTACTGTTATGTATTTTGAAATTGTTCTTTCCTCCCTCTCTTTCACAACATGGAGAGAATGTGTATCTGTTGAGATGGATCCCAATCAGCTCACCTACTAATTATGTACAGTAACAGAGTACTACTCTTCACTCCTATTAGCCAGTAAAGCTAATTGTGGTTCATCAGCCACTCAGAGATGCATCACTGTGATTCCTACAGACTGCTGATAACTACTCCAGATGACATGAAGT